ATATATTTTTAGTTTCTTGATGATACGTTGGAGTTGAACCCAGAATCACCCTCGAACACTCATTCTACATGTCATTGTCCTGTGTCAGTCTGTCTATATCATATGTCTGCAGTCAAATGTCAAAATTAGGTACGACTGTCACCTGTTGAACCGCTATAGATGATGTCTATTATAAATTTAAAGGGTTTAAGTGGGTTCGGTGCCTTTACCATCCCCAAATGATTTGAATGTTGTTGTTAACAACTTAATGTATTATTCGATTGATTTCAGTACAAGGTATCCTAGACGTAAACTTTGTTAATGTTATATTTTTTTACTTTGTAACGCCTTTGAGGATGGCCAATTTGTTTTTAATTGGTACGCTAATGCGCTCTAGTTGGTTGCGTCTCTGTTGATGCACTATACTGATTGAGCATGTGAGGTTGCCGCAAATACCTGTAGTTAAAAAGATAGTTCATTAGATCCGTAAAACAAATAATGTGACGGATTAAAACCACGCTATTTTTGCATCGCACATAAATAAGGTGTGACGTCACAAAGCAGGGCGAGGCATACGAACTTTTCCAAACAAAATATATTTGTTTCCTTATTTATTGATATGAAAAAGAAGAAAGTGAGAATACGCTCAAAACGCACTAAATTTTCCAGTGGAAAAAAACACAAATATATAAAAATTCCCATAGAACAATTTTAATTGTGTTTATTTAAAATTGTATTTAAATAAGAACTGTGACTTTAATAAATCTGAAATATGTGTGTCAATTCATCGATTATTAAAGAAAAACGTCTTCATTGTAAAGCATTTACTATTATTTTAAGCATAAAATTATGTTTGAGGTAATATTGTTTATTTACTTGCAATTTTAAATAATAATTTAGTTTTATGACTGTAACTTATATATATTTTTTTTTGTTCCAGTGTCTGTGGCTTCTTCAGTCAGTCATGTGTTTTATACTCAAATGTAAGTACTATGCATGAGCAAAAAAATTGTTTATATTCTTGTATCCTACAGAACCCGTTAATAGGAAAAAAAAGAATTATTTTGATAACTACTTAGCTGCATACGTAGAGAAATCGATTATTTAACTTAATCGGTTATTTTCGATTAATCGATTACTTAAAACTAATAAATTCTTTTCGATTGATCGATTCTTTTCCATTAATCGATTCTTTTCGAATAATCGATTTTTTTTTCTATTAATCGATTGTTTTCGAGTTATCGATTATTTTAGAATAATTGGAAACAGCGATATTAGCGCTTGTACAAAGTTTTAAACAAATACTAAAATTATTGTAAAAATGAAACACCCATTTTAAATTAATACGAATCGCCACTGATTGAAAGTTTACCATTTTTGCTCAATATAAATTCAGGATATTCACAATATACCTGAATAGATCGCAGTGATCATAGATACATGGAAATAGTATGTGAATTCAACTTGATATGATTGCGACTTTAAGAAAGTCAATACAAAAATAATTAACGAATTAATAGAAATTTAATAAATCGACTTAGTTCGTCAATGGTTCGGTGATAATCGGGACTTTTTTATTGAACTATTTTGCATGCCGATGCCTGAATTACCAAAAATTATTCAGAAACGTAATTTAAAAAACTTTTTATTTATAACAGACATAATATATGCAGTAAGAAACAGTCTCTTACACAAAGCAATTTATTTTTATTTGTAAAAGTTTAGAAAAATTATTTATTTTGCACTATTTTCTGTATACTTACATAGTGAGTAAGACTTTTTTTATCCAATATTGGCAATTGAACGTATTCCAATATCTCTTAACACAAGTTCGTGTGAAAACTACAAAGATCTAGCAGTAGGGCAAGCAGAAAAAAAACAATACCAGCGATGCTAGCTGTACGACCTGGCCAATGTTTCAGAGATTCAAATGTCCCACCTTGTCCCTCCCTATATAGCCGCTTTTAAAATTTCGTTCATTTTCTACCATTTTCAGATTTAAACGAGCAAATTAGATAATATTATATTCATAGATATGTACTAGTTTTCATTAATGATCAATATATTAATTATATTAAAACAGTAAATTTGAATCAATATTCATTTGTGTCGGAAACATTTAGAGGAGCCTATAATGCGCAATACAATTTACGAGATATTAAAGAGATTATAAATTTAAATTACCCCCGATGTTTTGCTCTTTAACGATGTTTGTCTAAACAATGCGTAAGGAAATTTTTCAAACAAATTCGTTAAGAAGGCTTCCTAATTATTCATAAACGTAAAATTATATCCCTATATTTAATAAGGAATAAAATTTCATTATTTTGTAGGAAGGTTTACAGAGAGAAATGTCTCAATATTGAGTTCAATCGGTTTTAGCGTACGAGTACCTAACCGGTACTGCAAGATTGTTAATTTGTAGAAATTTCAGTTGCATAACTTGACATCTTGATACTTAACAGGCACAGTCAAGCATTATTCTGATTTTTGCCAAATAAAATGACAGGTTAATTATTCTATGGGGTTGCGACAGAGAGCCAGTAAATTTGATGAAGGTGTTTTTGTGGCTAGGGGCGAAATAGTAGTACGCTTAAGTTAGCACCACCATAAAAAAGTCATTTTTAAGAAACTGCTTATGTATTTTTCATTAATTGGCAGGCTTGGCGACTAATTTCGAATAAAAATAGCCTCCAGAATGGCTATGGTTGCAAGTATAAAGGTCCTAATAAATTAAATATTAAATTTGTATCAGTACTTTGTTTTCAATTATGGTCACATTCAAGTTTATTTTAGAATAAAAATAATGGCACATAATTTATCTTATGAAGAACTTATGGACATGATACTAGCATAATATGTCATCCAATTTTAGGAAATTTAGATTTTTTTATTTTAAATAAATTGTTATCTCTGAAACTAAAAAAAATTTTTTTCACTATTAATCATTATTTGTCCTCAGCTATCATTCCCCAAATTTATGCGTATAAGTTAATAATCACCCTGTATATAATGATATGGCAACGCCCGGCATGTGAGTTCCAACAAAAATACAAAATCTCAAATGGGGTGGGTTCAAAATCTATAAAATAACTTACAAGAGGAATTTGATACTACTAAATTAAAAATAAAAAAAATATTCTTCTTCTGTCTTCCGCCCTGGCTACTCTTCTGTTCAATCTGCTTATATTCTCCTGGTTCCTCTGCAAACTCTACTCTCTTCGCCTATATGTCTGTCTGTCTCCAGTCTCTACCTGTCTCTGGTACTATTCTTTACTTGTTTTTTATTTTTCTTTATATCTGCTCTATTCTCTTCTTTAAACCTTTTTTATTTTTAAATAAAAATTTTCTTTATTAAAATCTTCCAATCTTTAACATATAACTTCTCTAACAATATTACTCCTCAATAAACTCAATTTCAAACACTACATTTAAAAATCCATCTGATTTTTTTTTTTTTAATTCATATCTGACAATCTTTTTTTTATCTCACAATCTCTATCTATCAAAAAAATCATCTCCCTCTTTTCAAACTTAGTAATTTCAAAAAATATATTTCTAGATTCTCAACCATCCAGCTTTGCTAGCTTCAAATTTTGACACTAATAATTAATTTTAAATTTCGTTATCTGGCTAGTTTCCATATTAATAATTTAAAAAAAATTAATCTTATATACAGGGTGTCCCAATAGTGTGTGGAAGTTCAATATATCCTATATTATAGAAAATATCATTATTTACAAAAGTTGTAGATAATATTAATCTGCACATTTCAAAATTATTTTCGATTATACAGAGTGATCCATAACTTCAGAATTGATCAAACCTATGTTTTTTTAAATGGACCACCCTGTATTTAATTGTAAATTTAAGTTCTTCTGACTTTGCCCTTCAAGAAAATACCAACATGTATGAGGTTATACTGGGTATTTTGGAAGTTTAAACCAATTTTATATGAAAATCGTACTAGGATCCCCTCTGTATATTTCAAAAGAAACAATCGAACATCACAATTTTTTGATGAATCATTTTTAATGATAGTCTACTTTTATAAGAATATACCATTTTTTTCCTAGCGCAACAGACGTGTACATGGTGAGTCAAAACTCAGATACATGATTTTTTTAAATGTAACACCCTGTATTTCATATTACTACTAAAAAGTACTCTAATTATGCGTTCGTTTGAGCTAAATATTGCCTATCCCTAAACACAACAATTTAGCGAGATTCTTAGATAAAATGTTAAAAAGGGTTAATTATAACTAAATTCACAATGTAATTTGATTAAATATTATATACTAGTAACTAGTTAATCAGTTTATATTTTTAAGGTACCTGGTACAAATTTTTATCAGCTGAAATTATTTTTTGAGGCCTTTACAACTTTTTATATAAAATGCAATGAAAACGCTAACAGAACTTCAAATTTGTTTGTGTATTAGGTCAAGTGGGCTTTGAAATTCATGTCAAAAGAGTAATTTGACAGTTCCGAATTGTTTAAATAAAAAAATTAAATTACGTTTAGTTTACACAAGTATGATTATGCATCACTCTGTATAATCGCAAATAATTTTGAAATGTGCAGAATAATATAATATAATATAAGATATATCGAACTTCCACATACTATTGGGATATATATTTTAAAATTTGTATATTATATTTATAAACATCGAATTTTTTTATACCTATAATATTAAAATTGTAATAAATTTGATCTTACTAAATATATATTTAAATAATTATTTTAATAAGGTCCATATAGGTAATTTAATTTTTTATGCCTACATAATATTCTAAATAAAAAAGACAATAATAAATAATAAACTTAAACCTACTAATTGGTGTTCATTGCTGAGCTACCTATATTTATTTTGAAAAGGCATTTATTTTTTTTTTTTTCAATTTTCTTACGAAACATTAATTTTTTATAAAAAAAAAACTCAATAAAACTTTTGGCGCCAAAATTTGAAATAAAAAAATCAAAAAAGTCATGCATCTTTTACATAATATTTTTACCTTTTTATCAATTAGTAATTTTAGAACTTATTTTCGAACTTCGAGAAAAACCGAAATTTTGATTCGACAAGTGTGTACACTGCACAACGTGAAACCGCGCGAAATACTGAACTTTCCGAAGAGTTTTCCGGATTGTCGCTGAAAGCGGAAAACTGAAAAGCGCGCGCGCTGTTGCCACAAACAGATCGCGTAAACTTTTTTTATTTTTCGTTTAGTCAAAAGCTGTGGAGTTTCTTCATTATGATTTCCTATTTAATTTTCCAGTTGAGAGAGTACCAATTTTAAAAAATCGCGAAACACTGGGTATTAAATTAGAAACGCAAACGAGATGAAAATGGACGGAACGAATTACATTATATAAGAAAAATAAATAAATTTATATGAACTGATGTTAAAACAATTATTTTAAACTGTTTGAACATTTAAAAAAATATTTATTTAAAGTATTTTTTAAAATTATATGCGTTTACGAAAAATTACGAAACATTTCTATAATAACTTCGACATTCAATAATTAAAGGGCTTATTGGAACAATATGACAAGCTACATCATTAATTTACTGAGGACACATATCTTCAATGATTAAAATAAACTTTTAAAACTTCTGCAACTTTGTTAAAATGCAGTAACTTGATTTTTGCGCTAATGATGGTATTTGTTGGAGAATTTCCATTGGGTTTATGGCGTTTGTAACCTTATTTTTTATTTTTGTGAAGTAAAAATGCCTTTATTTTAAAAAGTGTGGCTTACCACGTTTCTACAATACACCCTTCAATTGCAAAAAGAAAGTTATCCAAAATTTGAAAAGGAGATGACATGGGAAATACTATTATAATAATTCTTGATTGTACAAAACATTTTTACATAGTGAGTCTGGAAAAACAGATATTTCACTTTTACCTGAAGTTACATAATTTTCATTCACTAAAAATTGAAAATAAACTGTAGAAATGTTCATGGCTCTATTTCGTATTGGTTAGAAAAAGATAATTATTGCTGAAATAAATTTTTCTTTTAATTATAATTAAAAGCTTGCTTTTTTATTAGCTGTTTGTAACAATTATGAGATGCCAATAAAAATGTAAAATTCAATGACAAATAATTATGAAGGGTCAAATAAGTATCATACAAAGTTCTATATAATTATATTTACTAAAAATTCGCAATAAAAATATATTAAATAAATGTCAATATACCAATAATATAAGATTCTCATACACTTTATTCCCATATGAGTGAAACATCAAGCATATAGCAGACAAGCACTACCCACCCTGAACAGACCACGAATTTACTCAGGATTAGTACACACAGGGTCAGTAATACATACGATACGGATATGAATAAATAAGGTCTGACTTATCTGTCAAAATAAAAGGTTTACTACAGTAGAAACCATGAAAACATAATTAAATATAAGTGAAAACTTTATTAGTCCGATCAGATGTATTAAAATTTTCATTTTAACTACAAATAAGCATTGAAGACAGTGGCGAATCCAGGAGGCTTTTGAGCTGCAGCCCCTCTTAGCAACGCTGAATCTGTACTTTCAGAAGCACGGCGTCACTTTTTTTACCGTTTTTACATACCTACCGATTTTGCGTAGTTTTTCGGGGTGTATGACCTGAAGGCCATGTGGTTTATTGTTTACATTGATAATATTTTAAGCAAAATGTCAGGCTCTGCATTTAAACGGTGGTACCATTGAAAATACAGACATTAAATTATGTACTAATTTCATCTAGCGTTGTGACGACGTCGATTTAGGTACGTCGCAGCGTTAAGCGTCGAGGCACCTAGTGTCGTAGTGGAAAAGAAGATATTTAATACGGTACTGTATTGTGACAGATATACGGTAGAATTATGTAGGTGGTGCGGGACGTGATTTTATGAAGGAAATATTTGGGGACGGAAAGCGTCGGAAATAAGGCGTGGGACGTTGAGCGTCGAAATGAGTGTACGGTAGGAACTACTTAGATGGTGAGGAATGTGACAGCGTTCGAGACGTAGGACGGCAGGACGTTGGGCGTCGAGACGTTGACACCTTCGGGGATAGGAGGTATTGTAGGATAGACGTCGTTTAGGAAGAACGTTTTAGGAAAGGTACTGACTACTGAACTTGAAATATAACTGGATACAAATAATAATATTGAATGCATGCACATCAGATGATAAAAATTGAATGATCCCGAGCTCATTTGGGTCTGGCTTTTTATAATTAGTTTAATCGTTTTTGTGACGACTCTGTCATTTTAGTTCTCATAGAAAATACGAATGTGGGTGCAAAAGGGGGTGGGTTATTTCTTATGTGCCTTGAAAGCTTTGTGTATTGAAACATTGTCGAAATAGGTCTTAACAACGAAACTAGCAAGATAAGCGAGTTAAGTTTTTTAATGATAATTACTTCGTAAACAGAAATATGTTTTCTTTGGGCTGGTTCTCAGAGACACGTGGATATATTACGGACGTTGTTATAGCTATTATTTATTAGGTGTCGTAAATAAGATTTAATTATCTGGGAGATTTTTCGTCAAATGAAGGATTTTTACATTTAATAAGAATGCAATATTGTATTTAATAAATGGAATTAATAAATTATTAAGATACCTGGGTGCGGTAGGTTATAGTTTATTAGAAGAATTTTAGAATGTTCAGTAGTTCAGTTCTTACTATTTTTTTAACACTTATTTTTTAATATGTATTAATTTTCATAATATGTTTAGGTACATTTGTAGTTTTTATTATTTTTTATTAGTTTCTCATTTAACATTCTTATTTTTAGAATAATTTTAGTTCCCATAAACCATTTGACGTCTATTCAAATAAAATAAAATACCTATAGTTTGCATGCTATGTGTTTGTTGTGGTGGTAAATGATATGGATCCATTTTTTTGGGTTTTTCGCCAATAATTTTCCTTATAATTTAGTTTTTGCGATTAGGTTTTTTTACAAATTTTATAGTGGCGAAAAACCCAAACAATGGATTTAAAAAATACTTCTATCAAATTTACTTTGCCTCTCAGTCCCCCCAAATCGAAATCCTGGATTCGCCACTGATTGAAGAATATCGTATAAATAAAATGTCTACCGCTTGAAACTGTACTACGTTCTGCAAATAAAATTATTACTTGACTATAATTTGCTGACACTTTTTAGAAGCTTGTATATGTAGTTTTTAAACTACAATTTCTTATTTAAAAAAAAAACAAAAATCTTTTAACAATTTTATTTCTTATTCTAAACCAATATTATCCGACACTGATAGACTTTGATCTCAGACATATATTCCATGTTGTTAGCTACCAAAAAAGCTATTGAATTCCTTTATAAGTATATCCGTTTAAAACGGGATATCCTCAGAAAATTCAGCAATCGCCGTAGGACAAATCGGCAAAAACATTTATGGTATGTTCCTTCTGATATGTTTCGGCGAGAATTCTTTTTATACGGCTTTCTTTGCAAACAACTCAACTTTCAGAAAGAAGATTGTTATCGCATTTTTCTTTCGATGAATTTCGGTGTTTGTCAACATCTGAGGAAATAAATAAATACGTACATAAGCGTTATAATTTTTATTATTTATAGTTATAAATAGTATAAAATAATTACAATTTAGAAGCACACCTATAAAAAAGTTTAATTACAAAAAAATAGGACTAGAAATACTAAAAATTTTTTTGTCCCCACTGTTCCTAAAAAAGATCAAAAACTATTTGTCTTAAGACATATTTAAATTAACAAAACGATCTGAAAAGCTAAATAAAAACATTTAGCCAGCTGATAACCACAATTTAGGCACGTGAGATGCAGATAGTATTAAAAACTTTGTAGCATAGGTGGATGACTATTAAAATAAATGTTTATTTATTCATTATTGGTAGTTTAAAGTTATATAAATTGGACCCAGTATAATATGATGATGGTATTATTAAAACAAGACAACAAGCGTAATAAGGAATATGGAAGTGAGCGCATTACAGAAAAGGCTGCTAGGTAGGCAATCTAAATGTAATTTTCAGGATACACAGATTCAATTTTGTTTGAATCTAATAATGCTTTATTAGTAAGAAATGATTATGGAATCCAGATTTCTATTCAGGTAAATCTTAATGCGCGCAATAGAGGTTAAGATACTCTAATAGTTTTATAAAAAAAAGTAATTTTAAAAAATATATTCCAAAAATGAAGAGTTTGATACCCCCTATATAACAAAAAAAAATTATAGAAACCGAACAACGTGATCAAGAATTATCGCTCGACATATATGACAAATTGAGAACCTCCCCTTTTTTGAAGTTTATTAATCAAAAAAAAAAAACTTCTTTGAAAATCCATTAAATAGTATTTTTTAAATAATTAATAAACCAATCGACCACATATAAAAATTTACTTGAACATGCTATTGTAATTATTATAATCAAAGTGCTTTTTTTTGTTTCTCACGCGATCAAAATTTTTCTATATAATAATAGGCTTCTACTAGCAACCCGACGAAATTATGATAATAAGCATAAAAATATTCCGTAAAAAATAGTTATCCAGATATAGAAATGAATCGTTTTTATTATATTTTTGTTAAGTTTTTCACGTATTAGCGATTTAATTATTTCCAATTATTTTTATAGAAAATTCATGGTTGTGGCAACAATTATTTCGATATAAAATTTTTATTTATAAAAAACAATAATGTTATATTAATAATTATAAACATACTAAACCAAAATATTAGTTCTTCTTAGCATTTATTGCATTTCATTGTATGATCTGCCTCAGGTCGCTGGTTAATGATCGTTAATCACTCGTCATTGGTTACTGATCACTGGTAACTGATCATTGGTTATTGGTCACTGGTTACTGGTCATTGGTTATTAGTCACTGCTCGCTGGTTACTGACCAATAGTTACTAGTTATTCATTACTGGTTATTCGTTACTGGTTATTCGTTACTGGTAACTCGTTATTGGTCACCCGTTATTGGTCACTCGTTATTGGTCCTCGTTATTGGTCGCTCGTTATTGGCAACTCGTTACTGGTCACTTGTTACTGGTTACTGAATATAATGTTCTGGAAGTATAAAATTAGTAACTAATACTTAAGGT